GGGTTTTTAAATATACTCCTTGTTTCCAAGTTTTAAAAAATAGATGTAAATCATTTTTAAGTGAGATTTGTTGGCTTGTAGTTTTATTTTTTGTTTCGTTCTCAGAGTTCAACATTAGCATTTTATTAACTTTATAAAATTAGTGAGGAAACTTTTCTTTTTTTTCCCCCTTTCATATTATGGAAGTGTTTAAGTAGTGTATGAGATGTCTGTGTCAGAGTTTGATATCATTCGCTTATAAGTTTGTCTAGGCATAGAGTTTCTTTGGAAGTTGATTCTTTGAAAACTTTTCAGTATCTTTCAGGGTTATTGATACATTTAGGTTTTCTTCTTAAGTCAGTTTGAGTAATTTATATTTTCCCATTTCATTGAAACTTTCAAATGTATTAACATACTGTTGTACATTATATTCTTAAAATATTTTGAATCCCATATGTATTTCATTTCTCCTGTTTTTGGAGATTTACCAAAGGTTCTGTCTATTTAGTAGATTAATTCTCTTTTTCAAAGAACAACCTCTTGGATTTATTTGCAAATTCTACTATTTTTCCATTTCCTGTGAAGATTACTTTATAATCAACAGTAGCTATTCTAGATCCTTCTGGCTTTATCGAGCCTAGGCTCGCCTTCTTTAATGCAGTAACTATCTTCCTGAACAGGTGCATGTTGTTGTCATTTTATAAATGCAACTATATATGCTTTCTGTTGATTTGCATTTCATTTTACAAGCACTTTATTTTCATTTCTTTAATCTTCAGTCATCAGTAGTTAATGTTTCTCTGAATAAAGCGTGTGACACCAGGGACCCCTGATATTTAAATAAATACAGGGCAAATTATTATTTCTTTGAATTGCTACATCCAGTTTCTTTGTTTTTATGTAGTGGGTGTTCTTAAAGTAGGATAAACTACTTTATAGTCGAGCATGTTCGCCTGCTACCTTTTGTTTCCTCCTATACATACCTGTTACCACATCACCAATTTATAGATTAATTCACTTACACTGTTCATGCAACGCACTAACTTCTCGTGGGGGTTGGCTTCGTTAATCAGAGGTAATTTTTCCTGTTTGCTTTTGTCACTAGAGGAATTTGGTTGCAGGATGGCCCATAACTTGGGGGGGGCGGGGCAGTTCAGGATAGGGACACAAAAGCCACTGGTCCTGTCCTGGAGTAAGGGACCTCGCCTTGGGAACCAGGTGAGCTGGCTCACTGTAGATGAGGCCCCCAAGGGCCCTTCAGTTTTCACATCTTTTGCGAAAGTCATCAAGTTCATGGCCCCTGCAGGAGCCGAGGACTGGATGGCCTGTGTTGATGGCCAGCACTAGTAGTGGGTGTTGTGGCGCAGCTAAGGCTCCGAGTGTTCTGTGTGGTGGTGCTTTGCGTTATATTTGATCCTTGTTTTCCTTGTTACTTGTGGCCAGGGTCTTAGGAAGCAGGAAGTTGCTGCCTTCCTACCAGGATCCCAAGTCTCCTGCCTGCTCCTTTCTTAGATTTGCGCTGGCGTTTTTCTCCGATGTTGACACTGGTCCTTAAAGGAGGGGAGTGTTGGCTTCCAGAGATTCTCCTTTCTTAATGCTTTCAATAAACTTCTCACAGTGACTTGGGCCAGGGCCTGGGCTGGAGGGCATTCGAAGGCAACTCTAGCTCCTCGCTCTACCTGCTCGCACAGCCTGCACTCCATGTGCAAAGAATGTGCACAGAGCTTATGGCTTCCTCTTTGCCGGCCCGTTTTTGTCTCAGTCTGGGGCTTCTCCTACCTCACCCAGGAGCCCTCAGAACTCCCATACAGGTGGCACACCTGGTGATCTGCCTGGGCAGACCCCAGAATTCCTTAGGTGAGTAGCAGATGAGCAGCCCTGTTAGGGAGATTTGAAGGCCATTTATGTCCTTTATCACCTTGCATCCTGTTTACATACATGGTTTCCTTTTGCTTGAGTGATTTCCAAATCACTGTTTCATTCCTTGAATAGGAACTGGGAGAGAGGAGGAACCCCTACACCTCAAGAAAGTCATGGAACAACCAGCTCTTTATCATCCCTCTTCTCTAGGATATTTTATAGGAATATTTGAGAGTTGCTTACCACTAAATTCTCTTGTCTTTAGAAGCCCATCTTTTCTGCTCCTTTCCCATTCTCTTCATTTATTATTGTAGTCTGCTATACAACACTGGCTTCCTAGAGAAATAAAGAATCTGTAGGAGCTGATTAGAATTTCTCAAATGCATAGAAGCAGCAGGGGACATTAAGCTGTGGTTGGATCACTACTCCCTGGCAGTGGCTCCTATCAGAGGAGGGCTTGTGCACATGTTATGATCCCCTCTTACTGATTATTGCCCTCTGATCGCCCCTACACCACCCTGGTATTGATTTCCTGTCAAAGTGTTAAGGGTAAAAGGGGCAGGTTAGTTGGAGCTTTTAAGTAAATAGTTTACTTCCACAGCCCGTTGGCAGCGATTAAAATGCGGATCCTCTCGCTCAGGAGGCAGAATGGCGTTTTGATATTTCCTGTCATTGGGTGGTGGTTGGAGACAGAGGAATCAACAGCTGGCTTAGTAATGAGGGCTCATCAGCAGAGATGGGTTTGTTTCCATGCTCTCAGACAGGTTTATGCAGCACTGAACTTTGGGAAAGTGGAACCAAGGGCAGCAACAAGCCCGTGTGGTGGGAAGAAAATTGCTCAGGCCAGGAAGGCTTCTCTCCATTTGCAGCATCCTCTGGCCTGAGTGCATGTGAGTTATGATGAAAACTCGTCTTGCCCAAAGGGTGAGAATATGGGATGCCCACCCAGAAGGTATAATCAGAGAAGATACGATGGTGCTTGCTCTTCAGGGAAAGACCTCATGATACAGGTCTCAGCTTCCGTTCTCCTACATCAGACATGTTCTGTAGCAAAGCATTTCGGCTAACTGAAGACAGTCTGAAGACAGGGATTTCCAAAGGTGTCATGAATGGATTTAAGATGTAGCTTGGCAGGTATCTCACATAGCATTTGTTTGTGTCAAGAAACCAGACAAGGGTGATTTGTAGAAGTTCTCTAAAACATGAGGGAGACTTTTTGGTCCAGAGCTATGTATCTTTTACTGTATCTATTAGCCATGGGGCTAATGAGTGCTTGAAATGTGGCCACTTCAAATCAAGATGTGCCGTAAAGAAAACATGTACTTTGAAGAAAACAGAAAAAAAGGATGTAAAATAACTCATTCATAATTAATATTGATTCTGTTTTGAAATAATGTTTGGATTTATTGAGATAAAATATACTAAAATTAATTAAATTTTTTTTTTTCTTTTTAAAATGTGGCTACTAGAGACTTTAAAATTATATATGTGTGTGAGATAGTATTTCAGTTGGACAGTGACGGGCAGGGTTCTTCACAATTCTCCTATCTGCTAGGAGTCCTTTTACCCACTAGAGGGAGATGTGCTCCAGCTTCAGGAAGTCTGGGGCTTAGCGCGCAAGCGTCGCCGCTTCTGAATGTTCTCTTAAAAAAAAGAATGAAAAAACGAACTCGAGTTTCTGCTTTGTTTCAAATCTGTGTAATTCCGGTGTTCCTGGTGGTTCCTCTGTGTGTGTATGAAAGTGAAGCCAAACCCAAAGAGGCAAGAAGGAGAGAGATTTCCCACCCAGATTTTGTTAATGAATTACGAGCTTCCTGTTACTCGTCTTTGCTGGACTGCAGTAGCTTGCTGTTTGTCTGCGGGCTGTTCCTTTGGACTCGAGTCTGTGCACGATACAGGGCGCACGCACACACACAGACACACACACACAATGTAATGTGTGTGTAATGTGTGTGCAGCTGTCCAGGACCCTGCTGCCGTCACACACATGCATCGCAGTGGACCACGTGGCGTGCAGTGTGAATGTGTGGTGGAGTTGTGCCATGCGGTCCCCTGGGCCGGTGCTCAATGCCCCTCCCTTTTCTATCATTCTCTGGTCAGTGTTGCTTTTGGTCTCTGAGGCTGGGCGGCTGTTTGCGTCTTGTGTGTGTGAATCTGCTCCTTGATCTTACTCTAGACCAGCATCTTTTCATGGTTAAGTTTTAGTAACACACACTGTCCTGGTTTTCCTCTGACCTTTCTGGGCAGCTCCCCTTTGGTCTTCTGTGGGTTTTGTATGTTTGTTGGTCGAGTAAGGACCTGTTTTCCCTTTTCTCGTCTGTACACTCTGTGCCTTTTTGGGTGATGGCAGCCATTCTGGAGGCGTCATCACTATCTTACACTGAGGACTGCTAAGTCTTTGTTTCTGAGTGAGGGCACACTTGTGCTCTATGCACACCCGTCCAGCTGCCCACAGTATATCACAAAGACACCCCAAACTCGACCTCCATAGCTTCCTTGCTTACTGTATCGTGGCACTCATCAGCACTGTTGTAACTTCTTACATTTTGTTTGTCTCTCTTACCTAGTGCACAGTAAGCCCCAGAAGAGCAAAAGACATGCCAGCCTCATCCCGTTTCATTCCTAGTAGCTCACACAGTGCCTGGTTATTGTGTACTCTCAAGAAGTATTCGAATGAAGATCTCGTTGCATCTTTTGTTTTAAACCAATTGTATTATTTATTTATAAACGTACTTATTACCACTCTATGATTCCATTTTGTAATCTCGTTAGCATTATGTCATCGCGCAGCTGTGATCTCTATCACTGTGTGGCATGATCTGTTTATAAAAATTTTTACCACCTGTACAAGTGGGGGCATTTGCGCTAAGCCCTTCTAATGGTCCTTGTGCTGGAAGCTTCCTCTCTTGACACTTCTCCTTTTGTGAGCCTTATTACAAGTGGAAGGGGACATTTCCATCAGCCACACCATGTATTTCCAAGAACTTAGGTCACAGAAAACGGGAGAGGAAGGTCAAGGAGTGTGACCTGTTTCCATGCTTAAAGCTCAGTCCACAGGTGGCTTTTCTAGGACATGTTCCAATTTCTGTTAGTGCCTCTGCTGTTAAATTAACCCAGTTTTATTTAGATTTGTGACTAATGGACACTGTTTTTCTTCTCAGAACATGAAGAGCAACTTGACCGAGAATTTGACCTGGGGACTGGCATTTTATTTGGAGGATTAAAGAAGGTATAAAATGGATAAATGATAAACTTTCTCAATTTTCAAACCTGGTTTCAATTTTTTGCATCACTTTTGTATTGGTATTGACCCAGGTACAGTATTTAGCAGGCATTGGGAATAAAGTACCTTTCCTGTTGCAAAAGTCATGGAAGTGCCATGTTGAGTCAGGTGTTCTTCATGGTCTTTATCTTCTTGTCCCTTGTCCTCCTCTCAAGACACCAGAAATCTGATCATGTAACCTTATCAGTTAATACACATTTCACTTTTGTAAAGTTCAGGAAGTTTCTTCCCAGCCTAGCCATATCTGTTAGAATCAAACGTGGCCTCAGACACTCCCTATACCAACTGCTGACAGCTGTAGGAACTAAGTGCCCTGGCTGTCCACACTGCCGCAGAGCATGCTGGGAATCTCCTACCCCTTTCCTCCCTGGTCCTGTGGTAGCAGTTGGCTGGCTCATTTATCTTTGGCTGCTGCTCCTTGTGACTGCTTAGGTAGCAGGCAGGGTGGCTGCTGCTCTGTCACATACCCCGTGCCCTTCTAGATGAGACAGCACTTCTGTTCATTAGAGTATGTCGCGGGTAGGTACCAAATCCTCCTCTTCTAGATGCGAAATGCTAGACTCTTGTTTTCCTCTCAGTGGAACCCCTTGAAGCTGGGGTTCTCCTCATTCTTCCCCTTTTAGTTTTCCAGGACCCCCATTTCAGTAATGACTCGAATTGCAGGAGTCGAGGCTCCAGCTCTTGGTTGAGGGTTCAGGTCAAGGCTACTAGTAGCTGTGTATCTCTTTTTCTAAGCATTTTGATATATTTAAAAAATGATATCAAAACATTGCCATTTCTCATTTTTCTTCTAAGGGTGTAGTATGCCAGATATATTGTAAGTTCTATCAACTTCTGTGGGCCGGCTAGGGACATAAAATAATGCTTCCATTATAAGTTCTAAACACCCGACTTACAAATAAACTTTTGGAAGACAATTTGTTTGCAAATTGGGCGCTGCCTGTACTGATCATTTTTCCTCTTTGAGAGTTGCAGATCTTGCTTAGAATTGGAGCAAATTTACTTCAATTTCCATTTTGATTTTCTAGGGTAACCTGCCCTTCTTTCCAGCTCTGGCTCTGTCTGTGTTAGACATCAGGCCCATGTTTGTCTGGGGCCAGAGAGAGTTCCTGGCTTTTGTTCCCCTACTCACCAGATAGCTCCATGAAACTTGGGATATAAATCAAATCTTTATTCATGGAATTATTTGTGCTTTTTATTTAAATGTGCTCTTTTTAGGATAATTAGTAAGACTGGTAAGGTAGGTGGCATTGTGCCTACTGCAGAAATGAGGAAATTTAGGAAGCTTTATGTCACGATGGGATTTGAGATGTAATAGGAGATAGCCCTTGTGAGTGTCTGGATCTGCTTTTTAGAAATATACTATTATTGCATCTCTTGCAACGGAAAAAAATGGTGATTTTTTCCCCCTCTTCTAGAGTCACAATTATTTGCCAGGGGCAAAAATTGACTGACACTTTTAGCTGAAGGGAAGCAATTGTGAGGCAACATGAGAAGCTGAACAGAAGGTCAGGCCCTAACAAGTTTTGGAGCTACCCCAGATTTCATTGCCAAGGGCAGGCTCAGCCCTGCTGTGCGTGGCTACTTCTAGACAAAGGGGCTTAGTCTTTGCTGACTTTCCAGCTCCAACACTCCATCAAGTACAGATGCTTGGCCCCCTGCCAAGGCTCTAGGGTCCTGGGGAGTTGACTTTTTCTAAGCATTCTCCACAACAGGCCCCCCGCCCCAACATAGGGCCCGGGTCAGGGGGTGTCAGTGTTCAGGCCATCTTGCCTGGAAAATGCGCAAGGTGCAGATACATACCGTTGGAATTCCAAAGGCTTGGTCTTCTGCCATCCTGAAAAATCTACACGTGACCGTCTGCTTATCTATGTAATGCTATTGAGCACCTCTTGTTGTCCTCATCTTTCTATAGCTCATTATCTTTGTATATAATGGGGGTAGTTTTGAATCCTAGAATTTAGAGGGAAAATGATGAGTCCTGGGGGATGGTTTACAAATGAAGGAAATGGATATTGTGTCCTTGGTGGAGATCATAAGACAGACCCAAGGGCCATGCATAGCACTAGGGTGTTCACTGATGTCTGCTAAAAGTCTTATTTCGATTAAAACAGGGGCCCGATAGGTTCTGGACACTCGTCGCTGAGTATTTCTTTTCTTGCAGGTCATGGGAGGTGGCAAGCAAACACTGCCACCAAATTGGCCCAAATTCTAATCAAAAAGATAAGTGGCACAAGTGACATGGCGAGCTTTAGAAAGAAGCTGTTATGTCCTCTGAGCACTGTATCACTTGAATGTTAGGCTACGGCAGGGTTGCTAACCTCGGCGACGCTGGCGTTTGAGACCAGAGAACTCTGTCGTGGGGGGCTGGCCTGCGTGCTGTGTTTGGCAGAATCCCTGGACTCTACCTAGTAGGTGCCAGTAGCACCCGCCGCCCCAAATCACGACAGCCGCGAGTGTTTCCAGGCATTGCCACATGCCCCCTCTTTGAGACCAACTGGTCTACAACCATGTTGGGGGATTTTGCCACCCCCACTGTTTCTCGTCTTCGTTCATCCTGCTTCCCCCTCTGGGTTGCGCCTCACCCCTGCCCCATGTTCCTTCCTCACGCTTCACATCTGAGCCCAGGTGTGCCCCGCCACAGAAGCATCGCCTGGGCCTCTTGGTCGGGTTTCGTGCTCGTAGTTCCTGACACTTCCCTGCCTCTCTGTTTATTTCCTTCCACAAATACAGCTTTTAATGAGCGTGTGTCTGTGCCCTAGTCCGTATTGAGTGCTAGGGGCACAACAGTGAACCTGACGGACAGGTTTCCTGTCCAAGTGTCTGTAAGTGGGGACAAGCTGGCAGGAGGCAAATGAACAAAATAACAGAACAGGTCGAGTTATCTGATATGAAGGAGATAAACAGGGCGATATGATAGTGATGCTTTGGATCATATTCGTACCCTCCGATGATAAATATATTTGTACAGTTTTATTTCGTGTTATCCATCCTCCACTAGGCTGTGAGGCATACAGGGTAGGGCTGGGGTTTAGTCATCCCTGTATCGTCAGTACCTGGAACAGAATAGGTGAGTGTTTTGTGGAATTTAACAGTAGGAAAGAGCGAATAACACTGTGCAGGTTGCAAACACTGGAGTAAAGTGCATCCATCCTGAGTACGTCTAGATAGACATGGAGGTAAATCTAAGTGGGACAGTGTTTATAGTCAGAGTTGGGAGAGACCACTGTGGGTACAAGCCATCACAAACTGCTTCACCTGAGCCCCACAGAGGAGATGCTGTTCCAGGGGACTCAGTGTGATTAGAAGGTAGGACACGTAATGGGGAGATGGTGACTCAAGGTGAAGAAGCTTCATTTAGGACAGTGAGGGGAGCTGGGCCTGACCACAGTCTTCCAATTTTTGATGTTAGAGTTTAGAGGATTGTCGCTCAAACAAGTAATGCCTTTGGGCCTTGTAATTTCTTTGGCATAAAGCTGATTGTACTTGCCGACACTCCAGTTGTGGCGGGGGAGCTCGTGTAGGTGCAGCTATCAAGGACAGCTCAGATGCCATATGCTGTGACATTTGCATCCTGTTTCGCAATGTCTGCTCTTCCAGGCTTGGAATTGCCGCCCCCTGCAGGCTCGTGGCCTGCTGGAGAAGTTGTGTGCTGGGGGCCTGTGTGCGGCCACGGATGGATCCAGCCCAGTGCTTCCCCAGTTCTGGCCATTTATCTGCCGTGGTGTTCAGCCTTTCTCTTTTTTTCTTGCTAGTCTTCTTGCTAGTGGCCCCAAGAAGATAAAGGCAACTTTTCAGTGCCCACCTTCCTTGCTCGATGTGGTAAACCTGTTTTCAGACAGGGTCTGAATCAAACTGACGCAAATGAAGCTCTATGTCTGGTTGTATTGCCATGAAATTTTTTCCTTTTATTTTTATTTCTTTTTCAAGGTAGTTGTCCTCATGGAAAGAGCATAGGTTTGGAGTTGGATGGACTTGAGTTGAAAACACAATTTGGCTGCATTTTGGAAAATCATTTACCTCCTCCGAGCCTTAATTTTATTTTCTGGAATATGGGACTGGGAGATCACGTGGAAAGAGAGGATGCGTATAAAACGTCCAGTGAGCTTGGCACAGAAGGGATGCCTGGTACGCGGTGTCGCGATTATTGTTGTTTTCTTCCTTCCGTGGCTGATGACTTCCTTGTTTTGGAGTTAAGGTTCGCTGGTTCCCTCTCTCTGGCACGGAGATAATGTTCTAAAGAGAACCATTTCAATACAGAAGGGGATTGCTACTGAAAGGCACTCTCAGAAGTCTACTGTATTATGAAGAGTTTTATATATAATCAAGTCCTCATTTGTTTACCGAGGGCCCCTCTGCCTGTGGCAAGTTTCTGAAATTGGGGCATCCTTGTAAATAAGAAGTTCTTCCAGAAGGAGAATCAGAGAGGACTTTCCAGTGCCTGCCAGAAGGGTGAGGAAGAAAGCACAAGATCGGAGAAAGGGAGCTCGATCACTGACATCTTTGAATGGCAAGAGAGAAGAGACACTTTTCTAAAGTAAAGACAGTTTTCAGCTATTCAGATTTTGCCCATAAAGATTTTAAAGTTTAGCGGATATGTAGACTCCTCTGTATTTCAATACTTTTAAAGGACAATAAGCTCTGTTTTGATTTACTTAGCAACTGTTCCTTGAGCTCTAGCGTAAGACGCTTCCAGGCGGTGTGCTGGGTGGTGGAATGGTGTGGCATTTCAGGCTCAGTCTCTGTCCTCACTGGGCTCTGAACTTGGGAAGAAGGTGATGATGAGATGGGTAAGTGATGCAGCCGTAGGTAAGGTAAGTGGGTGTGTGGAAACAGAAGGTGCATTGGGATTGGGAGACGGTGGGGAAAGGCAGGTGGAGGGGGTAACACGCATCGGGACCTGGATTTGAGAAGGGGAGTCATTCAGCTTGGCTGGGAGGTTGAGTGAGAGGCGGGGATGGCACAGAGGCCAGATCACAAAGGCCGTTGGGTACCATACGTGGAGTCTGAACTTTATTCAGAAGACAGTGGACAGTTACTGAAGGGCTTCAGGCCATTGCCATTTCTTCTGTGGACTCTTTCGGGAGCCCTGTGATTTCCCTGCCCTGCTCGCTCTCCCCACCTCAACATTTATGCATCCCTGGAGTCAGTGTTGCTCAAAACCCATTAGTGATGCCCATTTCTTATGGTATAAGGTCCAGACTCCATAGCTGACGTTCAGCCCCATTCGTCCACTGGCCCGACTGTTTCAGCAGCCTCAGCTCCTTGTAGTCACGCTGTGCTGCTAAGTGACAGGATAGTCTACCACTCCCTGAAGATGCCTTGACATTTCCTACGTGCGACACTTCCACAGGCTGGTGCACACTTCCCTCTGCTCAAGGAAGAGCTCACACGGACCCTCCTCTGACCCTTCTCCCCGCTCCTCCCCGTGTCGGTGTGCGCTCATTTGACACTTCCACAGGCTGGTGCACAAGGAAGAGCTCACACGGACCCTCCTCTGACCCCTCTCCCCGCTCCTCCCCGTGTCGGTGTGCGCTCATTTCTCCCTTCCGTGAGCTCCATTCCCAGGACTCTTCCCCGAGCCTGCGCTGGATAGCAGCTGCCTGTTCTAGATGTAAGAGGGTCTTCCATCTCTGCCTCTCCCCGCCTGACACATAGTAGGCATTCAGTAGTGTTTGCTGGTTCGTGAACGTGCCTACCCGGTGGGAGACTCATCGTGAAGGAACGTTGGTCCTTAGGCGACGTTGGCTTTGTTTCACGTGTGTAAACTCTGGCAAGTTTGGAGACTTTAGGCCTGAGCTCGTCTCATTAAGCTGCAGTCTCCCAAAGATGACTCCAGTGTTCCTTTTACATCTCTGCCTCCTTCCACCTGTTGAGAACAGATTAATAAGCAGTTCGGCTGTGTGCTTCTTCATGAACAGAACACTGGCTGTTGTGCAGCTCTGCTCCTTCACACAGGAGCTGCTCAGCAGAGGCAGACTTGTGCCCTGTGCCAGCCCCTGCAGGCAAGAAGGATGTGAGCACACAGACTAGTGATGGCAGAGGGGGTTTACCGGCACATGCTCTGCTCCATCCCATTTGTTAACGCGAAGAACTTCTGCTCCTTACCTGTCAGTACACTCTCATCTCATCCTTTCCGGATTTCTTCCTTGATGCAGTTAGGCGGGAAAATGTGAGCTGGCAGCGATTTCTGGGGGAGGATGGGTTGCCTTATGTGCAAATAAGATCTGCAATGCAAATGGACAGACCTTACACTTGCTTACTAATTCTTAGCCACCAAGTCCCCTGCTCTGCCCTCCTCTCTTTTATGTCTACTAGTTCATGGAAAATATTATTAAAGGTCCTTGAAGGAGCCAGGGAAAGATAAGGTAAAGTTTGAACCAAGGGTTCAGCTCTGCCATCTAAGATCAAGTATGTGTGTGCTTGTATGTATGGGTGGAGCGGGGAGAGAAGGAGAGAAGAGAAAGAAAAGGAGATTGAGAGAGAGATGTTCACCGTGACTACTCACATCAGTGGTGATATAGGTCTGGAATGGTGAGAAATTTCTTAGCCACAAACGAGTCAGTTTATAAGAACCTGCTTACCAACTGCCTTGTGGGCCAGGCTGCGAAAGTTGCTGGTGGTTAATGATGTAAGAAGCATGATTTCTCTCCTCTGGAAGCTTACACTCCATTCGAGAATGCCAGGCTGACATGCAGCTTTAATAGGGATACTGCTCAAAGTGTCAGACAAAGGGCCGAGGCCTCAATCAAGCTGAACAGATACCAGCTGTATGCAGCCAGGACAACGGGCCCTGTTTGTGTGTCCTGCCTGAAGATGGACCTCGTTACATTTAACGAGGCGTTTCCCTATGCACAGGTGCCCCTGCTTGGTACACCCAAAAATCGCCAGGGGAGTTTCTAACCTTGGCAGGACTGGGGAAGGCTTCCTGGAGGAGGTGGGTTGGAGCTGAGCCTCGAACAGAAGGGCCATGTTTTGAGCTGACCCAAGCCTGTTGTTCGACAAAAATTGCATTCTTCAGTTTTACTCTTGGTAGGCCCTGGCAGTTGGAGGTGGGTAGGAGTTAAATGTCCCCCCATTCCACCACCTCGCTGCCGAGATTAGTTCTGAATTTTGCCACGTGTGCACACATTTATCAGTAGGCAGGCACATGGACCTGTCCCTGGAAGCTCGAAGCCTCTTTTCTCTGCCCTTAGGTGGGCATCCAGTGATCATCTTGCGGAAGGGGCCCATGAGGCCGGGGCAGGCCTGCTGTGGGCCGGAGCGGACACCCGGCCAGTCTGTTCAGGGGACAGAATCTTAGGGAGTGAAGGGATGCAGATCCAAAGGAACGCTAGACCCAGGGCAAAGCTCCCTCTGGGTGCTGCTCGGGGCACCCTCTCATCCTGACAAGGGTATTGGGGCCTGAGAAAATTCCTCACTTGGCACATATGTTGAATACCACTCCTTTCATTTGTAAATTTTCTTTCTTTTTTAAAAAATTAAATTTGTTGATGTTAATAACATTATATAAATTTCAAATGTCCAACTTTATATACATCTGTATACTCCAGTGTGTACCACCCAAAGTCTAGTCTCCTTCTGTTACCATATATTTGACCCCCTTTACTCTCTTCGTCCCCCACTCCACTGTTTATTTCTAACATTCCTTATACTAATAAATTCTCAGATGCAGCTTCAGATACCAGTAATGAAATCATTTGACTTGTAGCCATGTCCAGGGCTGGATTTCTGGGTAGGACCCTTCAAATGCTAACTCATTGTTTCTGGACTGCGGATTCCGCATTTAGGCACTTTTAATGCTAACAACCATCCCTTGGAGGTAGATGAGTGAATTTATACAACATCCCCTCTGTAAGTGATCTAACGGGTAGGACAGAGAGGAGGGAGCAGATTATTCCAGCCTCAGTGGGTTGACAGTGGCTTGGCGCTGAAACGTGGGGAGAGACGTGGGGACCTGGGGTGGAGGGGAAACACTGCCTGCCTCCCTTAGGGTCCCTAAAAGTGGTGGCTGTCAACCTTCTTTAAAAGGTTGTTACCTTTTGAAATCATGACATGACAGTTGATAAATCTCTGTTAAAAAGTAATTAGAAGCAGCTGCAGGGTAAGAGTGAGCTCATGGGCCCTGTGGGAGATGTGAGGGGTGTTGTCTGTGTGGGGAACTGACGGAAAGAAGCCTCGTTCAGGATAATAGGAGCTGCGGGGAAGTTTGAAGCAGGTGAGCGTTACTTATCCATCATAGTCGCCCCCCAGGTTTCATGAAAGCGAATCTCAGACCAAATTCTATCCTACATGTGGGCATTTATTAGGAAAGTGGTAGGAACCAGTTCATACCCATCTGTCCTGGGGGCTCTTTGTCCGTTTAGGAACTCGTGCCACTACCTTGAATGGAAGGTCCCTTCCAGGGATGTGACATATCCAGAAGGGGGATTCTGAGCTCTCTATTTGGCATCAGACAACCAGAAATTCTCTAGTGCCGGAGCAGAATACAAGACCTCTTTCGGGTCAAGCCTTAGGGTCATCACCAAAGGTCATCACCCAAAGTAGGTGTTTTAAACATTTCTGGACTCTTGACCCCTGATCAGGCAGGGGAGGGAAGGGAGGGTTGTCTCAAGGTATTTCGGTCATTATTTCTAACATGAACCTCATTAACTAGAAGTCACAGACTTTTGCAGTGACAGATCATTTGATGTCTTCTTGATTTGCAGAACAGTTCAAGCAGGAAACTAAGAAAATCATGGCTTGCAAATACCTAACTTAATTTAAACTGCCTGGGCTAGCTTTGTTTGAAATAACTGATGTCTTTTTTTATAACCATAAGATTAGCCTTGCCAAAGCAAGGCTCCAAAAATTGAGTAAAAACTCAGAATTATTCCTCTCCACGGAAATCTTTAGTAAAAGGCGAAAGATTTATACGATTTGAAGAGAAATCAGAGTATGCTCCCAAGTCTCCAAACTCCCTCCTCCAGTAACTGCAACTCCTAGTTTACTGATGGTGGCATTTTACCCCCAAGGGCTACTTCCTGCCTAAAGTTTGTACAAGGAATTCAGTTAAGCAAGCTTCTCATAGTTAGAAATGTGGAGCTGAAAGAAATTCTTTTAAAATGGAAAGGATTGTACTTTGTGCAGAGAGTAGTATGGGTATGCAAATAAAAGTCTGAGTCATCAACCTAGAGAGTCTGCAAATACTATTCACAGTGTGCCTGGGGAGCCACCACTAGGGGGCTCAACAGAGGTCCGGCTGGCTGCGCTCTGAACCTCATCCGGCCAGGTTCAACCACAGAAACTGATTTTATCCTTTTTGTGTACTGGGATTCTGAGTATGGTTCCTTTCATTTCCTTTCCCCCAACACAGTTAAGATATAGAACCACAAGGAGTTCCCTCTGGCTGCCCCTGTTTAGTCACACCCACCCTCCTCACCCCATCCTTAACTCATGGAAGCTGCTGTTGTGTTTTCCATCTCATAATTTTATTTTGAGAGTGTTATTTAAATGGGATCATACAATATACAACCTTTTGAGACTGGTTCCTTGCCCCCCATCCCCCACAACCCCGGAGATCCATCCAAGTTGTGTGTACCAGTAGTTCATTTCTTTTCATTGAGTTACTAGTCCATGGTATGGATGGACCACAGTTTAACCATTCAACCGCCCGTTCACTCGTTAAAGGGTGTTTCACTTATTTCCAATTTTTGGCTATTACGAATAAAGCTGATAGGAGTATTTGTGAACAGGTTTTTGTGTGTACGTGTTTTAACTTCTCAAGGATAAATCCCCAGGAGTCTGATTGCTGGATTGTATTATGTGTTTAGTTATATAAAAAGACTGCCAAACTGTTTTCCAGAATGGCTCTACTGTTTTATATTCCCACCAGCAATTTTGAGATATTCAGTTTCTCTACATACTTGCTAGCATCTGGAATTATCACCATTTTTAATTTTAGCTGTTCTGATAGGCGTGCAATGATATCTCATCATGGTTTTAATTTGCATCTCCATAATAGTTAATGATGTCGAACCTCTTTTCATGTGCTTATCTGTCATCTGGGTATCTTCTTTGGTGAACTTCGGTTCATGTCTTTGCCTATTTTGTAGTTGGATTATTTGTAGGTTATTGTTGTATTTAGAGAGTTTTTTTACATAGTCTAGATACTAGCCCTTTATCAGATAGGTGGTTTGAAAATATTTTTTCTTACTCAGTAGCTTGATTTTTCATCTTCTTAGTAGAGTCTTTCGCAGAAGCCTAATTTATTGTTTTGTTTTGTTTTGTTTTTCTCTTACAGATTGTGCTTTTGGTGTCATGTTTAAGAACTCTTGTTGTATGCCCAAAGATGTTTTTTTTTCCCAAAAGTTTCATAGTTTTGCATTTGACATTCAAACCCGTGATCTATTTTGAGTTAATTTTTATTCTAGTTTAGGTAAAGGTTTCTTTATTTAATTTTACTTTATTTCATTTTATCTTTTTGCTTATGGATGGCTACTTGCTACAGCACCATTTGTTGAAAAGACTATTCTTCCCCCATTGAATTGTTTTTGCAACTTTGTTAAAAATCAATTGGCCAGACTTATGGGGCTCTGTTTTGGGGTTCTCGTTGCTTTCTTTTAATTGATGTGTGTATAGCCTGTCTTTTTCCATCCTTTTCCTCTCAACCTACGGTATTGTTATATTTGACGTGTATTTCTTACAGACAGCATGGAGTTGGATCATTTCTTAAAAATCCGTTCTGCCAGTCTGTCTTTTAATTGGTATATTTAAATTGATTGGGGTTAATTTAGCTTCTTGAATCTGTAAGTTTATGCTTTTTGCCAAATTTGTGAAGTCTTTAGCTGTTATTTCTTTGAATACTTTTTCGGCACCACATTTTTTCTCCTTTCCTTCTAGGATTTCAATGACATGAATGTTAGATCGTTTATAATTATACCACGGGTTTCTGAGGCTCTGTTTGTTTATTCTTTCAGCCCATTTTTTCCCCCCATTTTTCAGATTCTGTTGATCTGTCTTTAGGTTCGATGATTCCTTTCTATGTCATCTATTTCTGCTTTTAAGCCCATCCAGTGAGTCATTTTATTTTCCATTTTTTGTCATTCCTCAACTCCTGAGGTACCTAGCCAGTCTGTCTTCTTTTTTCCATCTTTCAGAGTCTTATTTTTGTTTTATAATTACATCTGGGGTTTTTCGCTATCCTTTGTGGGAGTGTTAGGGAAAAATGTGTTTATTTTATCTTGCCTGGAACCAGAAGTCTCTGTGTTAAAGTATTTTAAAGTTAGTTTCAGACATCACAAAAAAGATGTCAACATCTTAATAACAAGCAAATAAGTTTCTGCACAGAGACGGCCCAGGCGGTGCACTGTGGGGAAACGGATGGTGGAGATGTGCCCGGAAGATGTGGTGAGCTTGGTTCTTGTTCTCATTTGTCTCTATTCCCAGCCGTGGAGGCACCTCAGCTGCCATGATGGCTGACCATCCTAAGGGATGCCCTGGGACACCCGCTGGGTAGCCTACAATTTAACTCAATTTTGACACTGTCTACCTCGAGATAGCATCAGATCCCACAGGTTAAGAGCTCAGTCCTACAAGACTGCACCCCACCCCCTTCACATGCCAGCTGCAAGTCCAGGTTGTTACCTGTGCTTTAGAGTGACTGGTTACAAATTGGAGGTTCCCATAACCTCTTCCTTGGGTTCAGTTAGTTTGCTAGAGTGGCTCACAGAACTCAGGAAAACATTTTATTTACTGTTTACTGGTTAATTATAAAAGGTTTTGATAAAGGATACAAATGATCATCCAGATGGAAGAGATGCATAGAGCAAGGTATATAGGAAGGGCATGGATGCCCCTCCCTGGGCCTGCCATGCTCCCAGCACCTCCTCGTGTTTATCAACCTGGAAGCTCCCTGAAGCCAGTACTTTAGGGATTGTTATGGGGAATGCATCATGAGGCATGTTTCATCATCAACTCCTTTTTAAGCCCTTCTTCCCTGTCGGAAGAATGAGGAGAGGGCTGAAAATACCAAGTTTCTAATTATGGCTTAGTGTTTCTGGTGACCAGCCCCCACCCAGGAGCCATTAAGAGTCTCCTCATTAGAACAAAAGAGGCTGCTACCACCCAGGAAATTCCAAGGGATTTAGGAATTCTGTGTCAGGAACCGGAGTCAAAGACAAGTATTAGAACAGAAGATGCTCTGGTGCTCTTATCACTTAGGAAATTACAAGGCCGTTAGGAGTTCTGTGTCAGGCATGGGAGGCAGAGACCAGTACATATTTTCTATTATTTCACAGGGAGCTCTCTCTTTGAGAGCCTGGGCACGTAGGTAATGGACAAAGGGGACAGACTGAAAAGGTGCGTGGGAGATTTCTTCCACATATTCTGATTGCCCACTCTCCTGGTTTCTTATGTAGTGTGTAAAATTCAAGGAGAAAAATGGTATCCGGGATTGAGAAGCGTTCCCCTATTCTCCCCCTGTTGCCTGGATGGATGGCAAAAATATTATTTTTTTCTTTTTCTCTCTTTTATCATTCTTTTTTAATTGTCCTTCTGCCCTGGGGACCTTCAGCATTTTGGTATTCATCTAAAATTCTAGATTCTAGATTTTATGTATTAACTAGTTTTCTTGAATGTGAGAAGCCTTCTTAGGCTAAAAGCAAATTCTCTGTGTGCGAGGGCCATTGTAGGTGCGACGGCCCCCAAATGGCCGGGAACCATTTTTTCTCATTATTTCTGAGACTTGCTTTGTCTTTTTCATATTCTGGAGAGGTGCCACTAATGGGATGTATGATTTATTAGCATCGTTTGAAGCGGGGAATGTCAGGAGCTTGTGTAATTTGCTGTCTAAGTCATCCAATTCTATTACATTTTTCGGTCACAACCCCTAACTTATCAGCCTTATTAATTATTACAACATGTTACTCCATATAGCTTATATAAAATGTGGTCGGTGTTTTTCTAGTTTGAGGACAGGTGTTTTTCTAGTTTGAGGACAGGGAAAATAATATAGTTGTTGTGCCTTTGCCTTCATACTAGAATTTAGTGTTTTTAAAAATGTGATTCATTCCTTGTTAGCTCTACGGGGAAAGGAAGAAATACAGAACAAACAGCAGGGAGAAGAATCTATACATGTTTCTTATATTTAGATATCTTGTATTCAAGCGTATGCATAAGTCTGGGATAATCTGGAGTGACTTCTAGGAAGTAGAGGTGAAGCCAGAGGATGTTACTGAGTTTAGATTGGCAGTTGGGTTGAAGAGATTCAAATAATTCATCCATATCAGTTAGGATCTCTTGATTTAATTAAGTCCAGAGGTTTTCTCCTCTTCTGCAAAGCACCTCCCTGTCCCCATTGTACCGTGGACCGATTTGCCAGGCTCAGATGAGGACCAGTTAAGAGACCGGGTCAGTACCCGGTAGAGCAGTGCAGTTTGTGCTCGTCCTGTTGGGCACCGCCACGCCGGTGAGCTGCTTTCTTCACCCGTGTGGGATGGTGAAGACATTTAAGCGGGGACTTTGTTATTTACAGAAAAATAAAAAGTTTTGTGAATGAAAATATTTTACCTTTGAGGAAATGTTGGCTGGGGAAAGAACATCATCTCTGGAAATGGTGAGCAGTAAGATAGTTTTGTTCAAATTATTTTAGAAATAGCAAAGCATCTATTGAAAGAAAAAGAAAACTCTTCCAACAATTGCTAAATGAATCTTTAGCCTGAGTTCATCCAGAGAGCTGCGCTGCTTCTGTGCAGAATTCCTACACATATGTCTTCCTTTTTTCTCTCTCCTTTGGAGATCTATAGCCATTAAGGTGAGCTGGCCCCCTGGGTGCAGGTACCTTACAAAAGTTTCCCCGTCCACAGATAACTTTTGCTCAGCGTGACTGGGAATCAGGTATGGCCCCAAGGTAAATAATATGCACATGTGTCTGGTATTCTATTGTATTTCTTTTCATTTT